ATGTACGTCGTCGAAGGACTCGCCATGCTCAATGGCGTGGTCAGTACCATCATCTACTTCGGCTTGAGCCCTGTATTCCGCAAGGAGCTTGCGAACATGTTCGGAAAGGCCTTTGTCTGTTGCAAGTTGCCATCCCTCGGCCTGTCCCAGACCCGGACGTCACACCGGTCCAATGGCAGTCAGTCCTCCAACATCCCCAGACTTAATGGCTACACCAACGGAACAAGGAAACCTATCACCGTTGAGACCGTTGATACGCGGATATGACTGCGTCAATGGCCAATCAGCAATCATGATAACATGTGTGAACTTGTAATGAGGACATGATCCTTCTGAAGCACCCGTTGTGTTACGGCAGATAATGGAATCTGGAGAGTACTTCATATTGTTCGAATTCTTGTTGATATTGCTGTCATTGTTGCAGTGCACTTGTAAAAGAAGGACTTAATGACATTGTCACCAATCTTTATCCTCAAGTACCATGTAACTCTATTGCTTTGCCCGATGAATCATGGTGTCGTTCTACATCGCTTCCGAGCAAACGATTTTAACGGACTCTTAGAATTCTGTCGGACTTGAGCTTGAGATAAATATTTTAATAAATAATTGTTAAACTGCAATTTTATGCACATTGATTAATGAGGCATTTGTTTCTATCATTGTAAATGCAAGGCTAATATTGCGATTTATTTTTGTTTATCATGATGGAAATGGAGCTGTTATCATAAGCGTTAATGCGACTCTTAATCGAGCGCCTTTGACAAATATACTATATTTTATTGAAACGTAAGTCCTGTCTTGCAAAGGGCGTAGTTTTGTATATGTCTTACGGGCATTGATCATACCTGAATGTTCTTAATTTGTGTTATTTTGAAGGAGAAGGAAAAACATATTTTACTGGTGAGAGAATCTTTGTGTGCTGTAACCATCGTACGGGTTGAATGATTGAATGATAGTCATTTATTTTCTTAGCTTCAAAATATTTAGACAAATTAGAGATGAAATTGCGTGCCTTCGACGGAGAATGTCTCATTTTCGGCAAAAAATGACTGTAAATAGAATAACATGGCTCTATTTTTCGTCTTTGTAAATACATATTTAAAGCTTTCTTCGAAATTAGACGATGATAACAAACATGTCTAGCATTGTATTTTTACATTGTGCAGCATGGGCTTTACAAGTTGAACGGTATTCCTACTGTTGTTTAATTATGTGTGCAGTCACTGTTGTAAAGATGTTGCATCAATGTCTTTTCAGTAAAAAAAAAAAGGACTTGTTATGATGAAAGTCATCTTAACAGGAGCGTCGCTTAAATTACCCCGTCATTGATTTTTGTCGAAAAATCTAAAGTTGTAAAATAATTCCTTTCCTCAATCTCCTGTTCGATAAATGACTTTTGTTGTTCGTTTTATACTTTGCCCAAATTATTATCCAGAGGACTCTTTTCCCCTGGAGGCAAATTTGAATATAATATGCTTAAAAATGTGTTCCAAAATGGCACTGCCTGCAATTATACTCTTGTGATAACGCCCCACCCCCAGTATCACAATGGTCGTAAACTATCTTATTTTAAATATATTTGTTTGTGTATGAATTGGTCAGTATTTTTATGATAATGTAATTTTCATTTCAATCTTGGATTATCAGTGAAACTTTGTGAAGGAAGGGATCGAATCGAAGTGTAAACAATTTATCTTTTGTAAGTTATTTTTTAATCTCATTTTGAGCAATATCATTGTACTACGGTAAAACAACTCTGGTTCTAAGATTTGAATTGAACTGAACTTCAAATTACATATACCGTATCAATTAATTGACTTAAATGTCTAGAACTTATCGTTAATTGTATGTCAAATGAAATTGCAGGATGAGTTTTATTTTCTGCTATCTCTTCGTGATTCATTAGTGTAGCACTTTGCAGTGAAAGCAAAAAGAAACTAATGTATCTGGTGCCAATTAACATATTTCTAATTTTCAGTTGCCAAATGCAAGTCTATTTCTAACAAGGAAATGAATGTTTGTTTTTATTGATACCTCAAATCCTGACGACCGTATAATGTAAGATTTATGAAAAATTATTGTATGATATATTTCAGAAGTACGTAAAACTGAAGGCCATTGTGTCTATGATCGCTGCCATCATTTTAATCACCACAGCACACACTAGCTAGTGTCATTTTGTTCTTGAAAAGTCAAAGACCAATTATATGCTGAAAAAGTTAATGAGAGGTTGTCATGGTTTTATGTATAGCATACTGTGTTCATCAAAACCGGCAAACGTATTCATGAAAGCTATTGCAATCTGTAACACTTAATAAAGCAAGCGAGTTTGTGAATTCCATTTAAATTTTAGACGAGTATCTATCAATATTTTATCAATCCTACTTTGCATTATGCCACTGATGCCATGCATTGTAAATCGATTAAATTTCCATTTTAACTTACATAGTATTTCATACACATATAACAGTGATTTATTTCTTCACAGAAATGGGAATAGATATTGGTATCGAAGTGGTTCAATTATTTTTTTTTATCAATGGCGTGATTCAGGAACAAGACCAAGTATTGTCAGAGCCGTGAAATTGACTGATCATGGGACTTGGACATTCCTATACTTGGAAATTGGATCAGTGAACGCCTATGACTTCACCCACTGTCAAAGTCGGTCCCAAGTTACAAACCAGTTTTGCATTTTCTAACTTGATATTGGTTTGTACAGTTTATGCTAAAATCTGTTTATGAGATTGATAAATGAAAACAGTAGTTCCAAACTGATGGAAAACAAACCGTTTATATTCCTTTACATTGTAACAATGTTTGCTCCACTTCCTATCCCCATCACATCTTTATGAAACCGTGACTAAATATGAGACACAGCCTCTTGCTTTAATTTATGGACGTTAAAGATTCAAAACCGGACCAACAAAACACATACAACAACCTGCACAATCCAAACTGGACCAAGTAATAGCGCTGGTTGATCCTAATCTTGTCTCGGAATTTATGATATAATCAAAATGTAATTATTTTGGATATGTTAATTGTATTTATTATAATTTGATTATGAATAAATTGTGAACAATTATTTCGAGCTACAGTTTGTGTCAATGGCCTGCTTTTCTGTCGTTTATTTTAGTGTTTAGAGATGAGGGGTCCCGGTAATCAATAGCAGGGTATTGAACCTGTGTTACACTACTTTCAGCACCATCGTTCCATCCATTGAACCATACCGAATCATTATGACTTGTCTCCGTGACATAATATTCCAAGAGTTTAGTACATTTGTAAATCATTCACAATCGCTTTAACGATTTAAACCAATATCAGGTTTTGATTTGTCTATCCAACGTCACACTTCAAACGATGCTATTAGAACTCGTGTTTATGTGACAGTCACGTTCTTGCGATAACGTTCAAATATCGCTGGGTGAAATGCTTTTCAAAAAGCCTGCCCTAAATCACAAATACATGACGTCACGCCTCTTTTATAGTGTGTATCATCACTTTGGTTTACTCTTTTTATTTAGCGTTGATCAAACTGACTTTCATCGTCTTTTTTTCTTTCCATTTTTTAAGACTATGTATTCAAAGAACAGAGTTGCGTGATCTCATCTTGATAATTTATTGATGTCACAATCTAGAATAGTTTTTGAGTGGCCATAATTTCAGAAGCAAGAAAGTTGGGCGAATTAGAACTTAGCGGTCGAAAAAAAAGAGATTATTTTTCTGGGAATTTGTAAACATTTCGTTTCAATGTGAGGCACTATCTGAGTCATCATAGCAGTTGTTGCCATTTTTTATTATCATTAACACAATCATCTTCATCATCTTCATCTCAATCATTACTATTATAACATCATCATTATCACCATCTTCTTCTTCATCACCGTCATCATTATCATCATGACCATCTCTTTCATTATCATCATCATAATCAGAACCATTATCATCACCATCATCATCATCATCATCATCATCATCATCCCGAATAATAAAACATATTTGACTCAGAAACTTGTGTAAACACGCATTTATTTAAATACAGTACATCAAAACTAGTACTTTCTGCCTTGTATCAAAACTATTTGAATTTACCATAACTGTACATGTGACGAGAATAATGAATAATAAGTAATACACACATGCTTTACTACTATATAAAAATCACTAAACAACTGTTGCGTCAAAGTCATATAATTAAGTACATGTATGTTTTCAATGATGAAATAGTAAAAATGATTCATTACTTAGTCAATAATAAAAGCAAATCACCATCACAATCAAATCTTAAATAAGGGTAATACCATAAGCACCTGAAATATATATAGAAAGAAAAGAAAACGAATAATTGCTTCATTTTCAAATTATATGCGGTGTAAGTTTTACTTTGGTCTGCAAATTTCACGCGACTGGCCATCTTTAAAATACACGTATGTTGTCGTTTTCATAGTATTGATACTATAGTCGTGGCATGTATGTCTTATAATACTTATCGTCCATGTTATTTTTTTGGTCACATGTAGGTCATATCCCTGTTTATCAAGAGCAGAACGATTATATAGTCGCCTTCTAGCAAATATATTGTCCCAAATCTGTTGAAAGTGAGACAAAATCACATTAGTCAGTTTGATAACCTTTGTAACCGTGTTTACAAGACACTTTTAATGATCACAGGCTGATAATTCATGTCCGGAAAATTATTATTAATATAACAGTTTTGGTAGGTCAAATAAAAGGGGGAAACCGGGAATAGTGATCCAAAGTAGCCAAAAGAACAAAGCTGGGTAGAAAGAAAAAGTAGGAAAAGGGTAAAAACGACAAATCATGTATCTAACGTCGGATAAAGTCTGTCTACGCCCCGCCCCTAGAAGACCCAGGAAAAAAATAATGGGTGAGAACTGCATTATTTGTCTAGTCGTATACGTCACGCGGGGCTATCAAGGGCCGATGCACCTCGGTAATTCGCTACCCCCCCCCCCCACCCACCCTCCCCACGGTTCACCCTTTTTCCACGTAACCATGTAGTTCATGTAGTGCAAATGTCAATTTTAACTATTGTTAAATCCGACATTTCAAATGCAGTTTACATGCATATAAACATGAAATAGATTTTATAAGTCCGTGTCGAATTCTGTGCTGTTATTGTGCTTGTTTTGGTCAAAATAAGAATAATTAAAAAAAAATGATTGACAATCTGTTAACCCGTTGACTGCTGAATTGTATAAGTCCCATAGGCTTAACACAGGGACCACCAGGTTCCCGTCAGCAAAGGGTTAAAATACAATTCAGTTGTTTATTCCGAAAATTCCATCCATCTTCTTATTGAATGTATCTAATTAGGTAATATTTCATTATCAAACCACAAGATCTACTGACAGAATGAGATTATCAGTATTATTATAAAATATAATTGTTTATTAGGATGAATCTAATATTCCAAATGAGTAAAGTGATCAATATAGCACTAAATAATAAATACTAAAATATTACTCGTTTATAGTTTTACATGCACAGTCAATATGCATAGCGCCATCATGTCGGTATGGGCCTGATATTTTTTGTATCAACCAATGGGTATTTTTAAATGATATTTACCTAAATCCATTCTCAATTCATCAATTCTCTTGCTTTATAAAAGTGCAAAAATATTTACGGCATTGCAACTGTATAATTAAACATTCATAAATATAAATAGTACAATAATATTTTGTGTTGTGGCACAACAAATATTAGAAACATGGCAGGTGAACCTGTCACCCTTGCAGGCATTTATTAGAATTTAAATAAAAATTTGTCTGCTCAAATCTATCCACTGCGTATGCCCGTTGCACCAAGGCGTTAGTCGCTGACGCAAGGCTACGTCAGCGACTAACGCTATCTTTGACGCGTGGTGTTAGAGAAAATCGTGTATGCAGTGAATTCAAATTGAACGTTGCAACCACTGCGTCATAAGCATTGAGCGTGTGCTAATTATCTTCATAGGGTTGATTAGCGTAGGTGATTAACGCAAACACATTGACTCAACATGTTCAACGGGCATGACGTTCTCAAGGAGCGTCGGTGAAAATTTCGTTTCGGGGTCAAGTGCAATCAATTTAGACCTTTCAGTAAAGACGCAATTTTCTTAGACAGACTTCTTAACTGCCATGTTTACAGAAACCTTGATGTTTCCGTAAACTAAATTTCTGCCAGCACGATATCAAACATCTGTCAGTTTCGGTCCCAAGTAAGATGACGGATTATCGCATATTCCTGAGTAATAAACAAAACGCTCCTCGTAAAAATATCTTTCGAACCAAAGTATCCTCGCCTCAAAAGTTGTGTCGTTCTTCGCATCTCTCCGTCAACCGTCAATTCTAAATAAATCCTCCCTTCAAAAGTTATCAAAATAACAAATACATCGTCTATACTGTAGCAAATTATGAAGTCTTAGTCTACGTCACAATGAAAGTCATGTGTGTCTCCTTTTACAAGGTGCATCGAGATTGTGATTGTCCTCTCTCTTTTAGAACCGAGCCTCGGCAGTTTGGTCTGAGCTCTTCCGGACTAGTCCGACCTGAATGTAACCATTGCGTCCTTGAGAGATGTTGCTGTGAGTGTTATTAGGCATGTTAAACTTGTCCTTATCAATGTCACTCGTCCTGGACCGTCCGGCACACTTCCGTCCAAATATGCTGGAGGCCATAATGGTCAGCTCTGACCTAAAATTGGGGCTCATCAAGAAATAGATGATGGTGCTGATGACCGCGTTAAGCATGGCGATGCTCTCGACCACGTAGAAGAGCGCCAGGTGGCCGGAGTAGTTCTCGAGTGCGTCCATGGCGAAGTTGACGGCGAGCTGGTAGACGTAGTAAGGAGCCCAGCACACGAAGAAGGCCACGACGACAGTGATGAGCATGGGGATGGTCTTCTGCTTGCGGATAAAGGTGACCTCACGATGGCGCTCTGTCTGGTTGCCCGGTGGCGTCCGGTGCATCCATAGCTGCATGGCGATCTGAAGGTAGATGGACCCCATGGTGAAGAACGGTATCAGGAACTCGAAGGCTGTGATGAAGGAGACGTAGATCTTGCCAGCCAGGAGGTTGTGCCATAGCTCGAAGCACTGGTGCTGTATCTGGCCGGTGTGGCAGTTCCGGAACATGACGACCCGGGTCTTTAGAGGTGTGGGTAAGGTGACCAAGATTGAGACAATCCAGATTAAAGCAATGATCACGCCAAGTGTCGTCTTCTTCATCCGAGGACGCAGCGGCCTGAAGATACCGATGTATCTGGACAGAATAAAACAAAACGCATAACCAATTAGTAAATGAATAAAAAGAAACTACTGACAAAAAAATAAAACCATTACTCATCAACACGATAAGAAAGAGGCAAGTGAATGTGTTGGTCACATAATTATACATAAAGGATTATTAACAGGGAAGGTTGCTGGAAAGAGAAGCATGGCACGACAACGTCTCAAATGAAATAAACAATGCCAGCTTTTCAAGAATAGGAGATAATAGACATAGACATAGTGAGAGGGGGCAGGATAGGGGGCAGATCGAGGGGGGGGGGGAAGAGTTATGAAACCCCAAGACAGATACGTGTAGATTCATGTTCCACCCTTAACGTGTTTCAATTTCTTGGCCTTTCATGAGATATACACACAATAAGAAAGAAGGTCCCATCCATTCCACAAATGTCACGTTAATGATCACATTACCGTAAATCAGCCAAATTTTCAAGGGGCTAATGATTGAAATGCCAGAGAATGATAACTCGATTTTAGAGTCAGAGAAAATGGGCTCGATTTTCTGAAAATTATGAAACCGTTAAAAGAAGTAAGATTTAACGGCCTTTCGGTCTCCCTTTCTCTCCCTATAATAATTATCTGCCTCTGTTAGCCCCCCCCCCTCCCCCTCTCACTCTCTCTGTCTCTGTCTCTCTCTCTCTCTCTCTCTCGACGTCTCTCTCTCTCTCTCTCTCTCTCTCTCTCTCTCCAGTCTGTCAGTCTGTAGACTTTGTTCTCTTCTATTTTATTTTGTTTCTATGCAAACGGCCTCTGCATAACATGTGGAAACGTTGCACTGACATGCAACTCAAAATGTAAACACACCTTGATCTTTAACCAGTCAGGATCGTGTAAATAAGGACTATTGTTTATTTCATGGAGTTGCGTTTAAATGCAATTTTTTGTAACGCAAGACGACCCTGAAATTTGAAGATGAGCCATCGTTTCTGATGAAGGCTCGCCAAGTCTGTCGGTCGGTGGCACAGGAAGAGGAAGTCCGTAAGGGGGCGCGAAGAGAGAAGGGTCGATCCCAGAGGCGGGTTATAAAAAAGGGAAACAAAGATTTCGAATACCAAAGGGGGCAGGTTTTGTTACCCCCTTATCTCATCGCATCACCTGATTTATGTCTGAGCTTTCGATTCTTGCTATTTAAAGTTCAGGTATCGTCCTACTTTCTATTGCATGTCTTTGTGCTTCGAATAAGTTTCGATAACACAATAAATCACTATGTTAACATGAACGAACAAGGATCACACAACATAAGTCGATAATCTTTATTCAGATGAAAGGAATATCTTGATTTAAATCAATTATTATTCAATATAGATATTAACACATTCGAATCAAGAAATCAATGTATGAATGAACAAAACATACTATTATGGGCTTTCGCCTTTTGTTTGGTATTGGAGTGCGTTAGTGAACTTTGCATTGAATTATTATCTTTATATTTTTCTCGATGTTATGGAGGTGGGTGGGGGAAGAGTCAGTCTTTATTCATTCCATCATTTACACAATAGGCGATATTCCCTTTTCGTTATGTATTCAGGTTCTCTTTTGCATGCTAAACAAAATTTGTCCTTGAAAATTCAGTGTGTTATTGATGCTTTTAAAAAAGTAAATCAATTTTGGGGAACAGATGAATGGATTTTTGAACATTTTGAAACAATGCAAGTGACATATTGATTACTGTGATTTACAAACGTCCATTAATACAGAGCAGGACCCTGTGACGTCACAATGGCCATTGAAGTTGTCCGTTTGGGATAAGAGACAATTGGAATGTTTGGTATTTTCACATATTTAAATACTATTGTCAAGTGCCACCTGTTCTCTTCATTACACACATACACTATGAATATGACTGACAAAGAAAGCGGACAAAATATACAGTTCCTCAGGTTGACAAAGGAACATCCCTTCACTGCTATTATGTAAAAATGTGTAGAACAGGTGTCACATGCATATTCACCTTTTTACATAATAGCAGTGAAGGGATGTTCCTTTGTCTACCTGAGGAACTGTATATTTTGTCCGCTTTCTTTGTCTGTCACATTCATAGTGATAATCAGCCTATGCAAATATTTGCCTACACATTTCTTAAATGAGGTTCCATAAGTTGCAAATGCAGGAATCTTTCTTGTATACCATTCATTGTCCTACTATCATCATCGGATATTTTGCAGGCTTAAAAACATTTTCATAATGGAATTCCAATAGGGATATGAAGACCACGTATACTTTGCAACAAGACAGGAAGAATCGGAGGAAAACGTTGGTGGATTAACGATGATTAAAACAATGATTGACGATGACGAGCAATAATCATTAAGAAAATCATTTATCAGGATCTTTAACGAGCTAGCCCGAGCCCTAATGTTGGCTTGACTTGACCGAACCTTGCGCGAGGTTTGTTGATACGTCGACGCCGGACAGGTGGCTTGACGAGGCAGAAGCTAACTTTCATGCAAGTTGGTAATGATGTTACTTCCAATGACTGATCAAGCCATGCAGATTATGGAATGTGTACTTATTTCTGAACAAGAAGAGGACATCACGAAGGTTTGGAGAAGGATTTCATGTGACTGCCAAAGGATGTTACTATGCTGATTGAGCTCAATTCATGGATTTAAGCTTTTGGATTATATCACTAACGGATTATCAACCTGGACCAGATTGGACCAGATGATATCCTGACTGAACCATAGTGATGTGAGGGGTAAGTCATATTAACCCATAGACCGATACAACAATATCTCTTATGATCTTAGTGACGCTGTGAAAGTTACTGAGATGGATTGAGGCTGGGTGTAACGTCATGATAACGTAGCGTACGTTGGAACCCCCCCCCCCCCCCCCCTCCTCGTAGGCGCCTGACTTACATCCTGGCTATAACCCATCTCAGCAAATTTTGTGGTTCCATATCAAGAATTGTTGTGTTGTGACCTATGGGTAATAAATGTAAGGTGATTGACTGACTGATGGTGTCTGAGTATAACATAAGCATCGCTATTTTCCGACTTTATTCACGAAACTGTTCACACTAGTTCGAAATATCTGCGATTATAACTCGTCATGTGACATTGTCAGATTTCGGAAGCTTCGGCCGGCCTATATCTTTGTTTATCCGACAATTTTCACGAAACTCTTACACGAAAAATAAAAGTTTTGTTAAAATTGTATTATTGTCCTTCGATATTCGGTCGTTACGTTCGTTCATCAATTAAAATACAGGGTGGTATAATTATTATCACCGCATCAGCTCTGTAAGTATTATGATTATGAACATACTGTCTTATTTATCTCTTTTACATCGTTGATTGTGAATACTTAATTTCAGTTTTATTTTCAATGTAGGATAACTGCTTATTATTTAGTTTTTCAAAATGTAACATTTAGAGAGTCCCACAGTGTGTATGAGAATGATAGTTGAGCAGTCCAACGACGCAATCAAAAAATAATGCTCAAAGCTAAACAGTCCATTATGCCCTGTATAATGTTAGAAACTTAGAATTCAAACACTCGCATAGTATTAGTTAAAATGTTAGGAGTTAAAAAGTCCCGTAGTCCTAGTTAAAATGTTGAAGGCTAAAGAGTTCCATAGCCCATAACCAGTCCCATATTTCCAAGGACCATTTGAATGTTATTTCGTTGATAGTAAAAATGAAACCTCGTTTGATACTAATGGTTAAAAATAATTGGATATCCAGATTTGCTATTTAACAATTCAATTCATGTTTTCTTTTAAAAACAAGCGGGGTATGGTCCCATTCCGAGTCACAGAGGGCCTGCTATACAAGGTACAAGTTTTTTTTAAACAAGGTTGGTCATTATTCTTACTGTATTTCTTATACAACAACCTTTCATCTGAAGTGTTATAATATAATGTTTTTCACAGGCCACATGCCACGAGAAAGTTGAAACTATTTTATATATTCTTTGTATCAAATTAAGGTATCCGTTTTAAGTCAACTTTTCAACTTGGGATGAATTTCTATGCATGGAAAGTACATTTGCAATACAACGTTAAACACTCAAGCCATGTAGAAAGTCGGCTGGATAAGCTGACCCACTTTAAGAGGGATTGTTTCATGAAACAGCAATCGTCTTCCGTTGTGTAACCATCTAAAAAATGGCAGAAGAAACTTTAAAAATATATGGAAAGTAATGAAAAACGGGAATCTGAGAAAATATATTCCGCGGATGTCGTGTTACTAAAGTGTGAGGCTTGCATCGAAGAGTCGCATGTATAGGCTTCCCAGATCAAAAACAACCTCTCTCCAATTAACCTGCAAAAAGCGAACCTCTGATTTTGTAGGATTGTTTTAGAGACAGTCGGAGGAAGAATACAAAAAAATATATTTTCGGAGGATACCCTGACAATCCTCGGGGAAAGCACATGAGATGTGTATGCATGGAAAACGATTTATCACTGTAAGATGGGATGGGAAATTGTGGAGGATGGGATAAGATTGGGAAAAATAAGAAGACGGATGGAGTTTCTCGTCGAATTGTTTTTTCTTCCGAGGTAAAGATCGTTAAGTCGAGGAAAAAGAAGAAATGGGAAACACAACAACGAATACCAATGTACAGGCATTGGCATGTTTTTCTAATGTTTTTTTTCCGGGGGGGGGGGGGTAATATTTTGAATCGTAGTTCATTGTAGTTCCCTAAATTGTCCCGATATGAACACTTTTACCTATGAAGTTTTTGCCCCGATATATGGCATTTTGAATAATTGTTTTTCAATTACATGTAAATATATTATGTATCCTGCATTTTTTAAACTAATGAACTGAATTAGTGATCTCAATAAAGTGCGCACCTTTTTTTGATAATGCAATAACGCACCATAAAGCAAAGTTGCTAAAGAAATGTATGTATACCATCGTTAAATTTTGCATTTCTAAAATGTACTGCTATCAATGTAGTCAAGAACATACAATATGTGCACCATCTCTATTTCTAAGGAGGATACGTGCTTGTGGTAGGACA